GCCTTACAGCATACATGTATACACAATTATGCTTTGTGAAGTGAGCTGTATTAGTGAGAGGTCAACTGTTGTCTTCTAGAAGTTCCACTATGAAGAATGGCCAGACTCTATTGAGATGTGGGTGCAGGAAAATGGTGGTGGAAGACCAAAGGGGAGATAATTTATAGATGTGTGGTGGGGTTGAGGCAAGGAGTTGGGGGACATACTCCGCAAGGACTGGAAGGACTGGAAGTGACTCGACAGAAAGAATAAAGACATGCCCGTCACTATTCTCTGGGCTCTGAGTGTTTCTGTGATTCCGTGATATGGGCCTAGTGAGATTAATTTCCTTCTAATGTGGGACTAAGTCTGCATAGTATTGTTGCCAGGCATGAGGAAAGGGTATACCCATTTCACAGGGAAGGAAATGGAGGCTAAGGAAGTTTAAGTAATTTATTCAAATTCAAACTCTTAGCTAAGTGGCAAGACCCAAGTTTGTTTGACACCAAAGTCCATGCTTCTCTGTTCCTGACATAAATAGCACAGCTGAATGGAATGAATGAACTATGGGTGACAAAGCAGAGATAAAAGTTAAAAACAGAAACAATTTATATGGAATTCAAAATACTGTGTTGTATACTCACTCTAAAGTTGTTAATATTTGTTGTTTTAGCCAAATCCAGATACTAGTGTATGATCCAGAAAATAGATGCAACCTAAGTAGTAAATATTCACAGCTACAAGCTATGGATCACTGCACTTTTAACAACAGTTCCTGAATTTTTTCATAGGCTTTAAATCATTTGACTTTATTTCTGAAACTGCAGTATGTGTAAAGATTGAGATGTGAAAATATTCCTTGAATCCAACCTTAACATGACAAGGTATTTAAAAATTCAAAAGTCTATTGACCAATGAGAGATTGTAAGGAAGGCAAAAATTCTCAACAGAGGTCAAACAGGAACCTTCAGAGTAGATTTCATAGATTATTTTTTCAGGCCATTTATGAAGCAGTCTTTCCTTAAAATTTATAGGGAAAATATACAAATTACACATAATTCATGTCATAATTCATGACCTTTTCAGACATCCCTTGACCAAGATCCAGAGGAAAAAAACAATTAATAGCTAAAAATTGGGGGGAACTATAAAATTTCATTTGGGGAAGAGAAGCCCTCAGTACAAAGTGATACAAAGATGTATAGATTTATTAGGATGTATATGAACTATTCTAAGTAATGAATAAAAAGTAGATAACTTACCAAAAAGAAGACAAGTGGAAGAGAGGGGCATTCCAAAATTGAAGGGATGCCTAAGCGTGAGGGTGCTGTAGAATCTGCCTTCACGAAGATTCCCAATAGGGTAAGAGCACTATTTCTGCCTACAGCCATGAGAATTAAATAAAGTGACCTCTTCTGGTCTTTCCTTGTCTTGTGTTCCTTTAGATTTAATTACATTTCCTGGCTTATATGAGAAACAAAAGGAAACTACTAAATCTAAGAGTAGGCTCTTAGGCTCTGGAATCAGAGAGACTTCCCTCTGAAGCAAACACATGACCACTAACCTTTCATGGACTTGGGCCACCCAGCAGTCCTATTACATTTCCTACATCCATTCATTCCCCAACGCAAACAACTGCTTTGCCCTCAAGGCTTCAAACCTCCTCTCTGTCCACTTTTTATTCTTTAATGAAAAAGCAGAAACAAACATAAGAGAACTTTTACAAACTCCTACCAACACACATCTTTCAACCCCCATGTGTCTGGCCACCCCTCCCATTATGATGGATGAACTGTCTGTGCTGCTAAGACTGACACCTCCATTGATGCACTAGGTCCCATCTTCTGTCTCCAAATCAAAACATTGTGCCAGTAATTGTCTGCATCAAATTTTCTACCTTTTCTGGAATGTTCCCATCAGCCAATAAACATGCTGTAATATCAGCTGTCATTCTCTTCCTGATACTGCCCCATTACAAGAAAACGCCTCAAAATCCTTCACTGTCTTCATTTTTTCTCCCTTTTTCCTTTGCACCCACTTCAATCGGCCTTTTCTCACTACCATTCCACCAAAATAACTCTTGTAGAGGTCCCCAATAAAATCCATGGTGTCTAGTCCAGTGGCAACTTCTTAGCCCTCTACTTATCTACATTGCCACCTCTGTTATTTGACTCAGGTGATGCCACATCTTCCTTTCTTATGTTCTCTCTTGGGTTCTAGGAAAACATACAGTTTGCTTCTCCTCCTACCTCACTGTCTCTCTGCACCTTCCTTCACTGATTCCCCAACCTCTAGGTGGAGTGCTTCAGTGGCCCAGTCCTCTGGCCACTTCTCTTCTGTCTTTATACTCATGTTCTGGTTAATCTCATTTGGCCTCATGGCTTTATACAGCATTTTCAGCCTGAAGACTCCCAAGTTTGCATTTCTGGCCAGGATCTTTCCCAGGTTCAAACTGCCTACTTGATATCTCCACCTGGAAATAGCAGACATCTCAAATCATAGTGGAACCCCAATCTCCCCATATTAATCAGTTCTTCCCGCATTATTCCCCTCTCAGAAAATGAAATTTTCCCTTTGATGGGCAAAAGTCTTTGAAGTTAACTTTGATTTTTCTTTTCTCACAACCCACAAATGATCCATCAGCAAAACTCAACTTCCAGAACACAAAGACTCCCTGTTCAGAACATGCCCCAAACCTCATGAATTCTTGCCACCTTCACTGTATTCACTGGGGCCTAAGCCACCCTCTGGTCTAGATTATGATGAACCTGTGCCCTCCCTCCTCCCCCAGTTAGTCTACAAAAGGTGGTCAAAGGATCCTCTTAGAATATAAAACAGACTTATATTTCCCAACTCAAAATTCTTTCATGACTTCCTTTCTCATTAAGAGTAAAAAATCCATGAGACCATATGATAACGTCTGCAAACCACCCTCACATACACGTGTCTGGCTTCTCCCCGTCCCTGTGCTCGTCCACCTCAGTCACTCTGGTTTCCCTGCTCCTCCTCAAATGTGCTCACCTCTCTCCCACCTTAGGGTCCTTGCAATTGCTTTTCCTTATGCCTGGGACACTTCCCCACCCCCATTCCAGGTATTCGCATGACTTGTTCCTTCACATCCTTATAATCTCCAATCAACCTCCGAAGACACATACACAAATGCCAAAAAAATGTGACATATTCTCTTTCTCTTTACCTTGCCTTCCTTTTCTCTATACCACCAAACATAGTGGAGTATATATGTTTTTGTTGTTATGTTGTTATTTTACTGCCTTCCACTAGAAAAAATCTTCCATGGACATCTTTTTCTGATTCATCAGTCTATCTCCAGAACAGTGCCTAACAGGTGCTCAGTAAATATTTGTTAAATGAATGAAATTGACCACTTTGTGTGACTTTAGGAAAATATGTTGATGCTACTATCGTTTAAATGAGACTAATGCCAGTGCCTACCTCAGAGGTTATTATAAAAATAAAATGAAATAATCTGTATAAAGCCTAAGTAGAGACCAACAAAGGACATTATTGTAACAACATTAGTTGTTAACCTATTCTTCTCTTCATAACCATTTGGAATTCCCTATAAAAGTATTATCAAGTCCCAGGACATTCTGAATAATATATATAATTTTAAGGAAAAAAAAGATTTAATCTTCCATTAAAATACTGACAACCCAGAGAAAATCCTTTACTGAGATCACAGGACTCATCAGATTTATCATATGTACATAAAAGCAGTCTCTAGGTTGTCCATCTGGAATTTTCCCTGACTGAATGCACTCCCCTTAAATTCTTTAGAGGAACTTTACTTCCAATTGATTTTCAAACTGCAGGACTTCAGACAAGTCCTCGACATATTAGCAAGCAAGGTAGGAGGTAGAAGTTGGCTGTGAATTCAGTGAAACTTCTGTCAGCTAGCTTTCTGTGGTCCCATGTCAGTCAACTGGTTTATACTACCTGAACCCCTCTGCTGCTTGTTAATTAATTGTTTCAGAATGAGCAGGATCCTAGGGGTTGCATCTGATTTGTTTATCTTAAGGTGACATTTTGGTTTCCAAAACACCGTCATCAACCTCATGCAAAACCCTCTCTCTTCCATGTGTCTATGGCATTCTTTATTGTTCCTTCCACCTTGTTATTTACCATGGCATATTAAAATGATCTCTTTATGTATTCTTTCTCTAGATTTGGAGCTACTTGAAGACAGGTACCATGTCTTGGTCTTATCAGTATTCTTAGCATCTGCCCTGTTAGCCCACTAGAGATTATCATTGAATATTGTTAAAAAATAAAAGCTGTGATATTACAAGATTGGACACTAGCACAAAATGATTTAAGGCTGAATCCTGGCACTGCCGCTGTGTGAGATTAGGCCAATTACTTAACTCCCCTGTGCCTCAGTTTCCTCCTCTGTAGAGAGGGAGACCAATATTATTTACTTCATAGACTTGTTATTAAAATTAAATGAATTAAATTAAGAATTATAAAATACTTAAAACAGTGTACTGAATAAATGTAATTCATTATATTTAATAAACAAATTATTAGTAGTTAAGTGTTAGCTGTCATTAAACTGGAAAATTCCATGGCCCTTACATGTCTACAAACTAACTAATTCCAAAGCAGGCTCAGTCATCTTTGGATCAGACATTCTGCTTAAGAGATGGCAAATGAGCGCCTGTGCAGCCCATTCACCTCTGGCAGACTCACGGTGGCGCTTCTGATCTTCCTCAGCTGGGAACCCCAGGAAGCCACTGTCAGTTCATTGGTGTTCTTACAAGACATGGAACATGATCTGCCATTTTTGTTCTTATTCCTAGCTCTCAGCCCCAGATTTTGAACGACGCTGGATTAGAAAAAGCTAGATTTATGTGTGTAAACATAAGGTCAGATGGAGGAACAGAAGGAGTTAGCCCCAAAATTCAAGCCTCCAACAAGCTTGAGTTACCTGCAGATTTCAAACCAATCCGGCCTTTGCTGACTACCCAGGTCTGTCCTGGGCACCTTGGATGCAGCCTCACCTTATGGAACTGTGGAGGGTATATTCGAGCAGCCCCATGGTTCAACAGTAGCTGGTAGCAGATCTCAGGCTGGGCAGCCGGTCGCACAGAAGTGACCTTCAGCACATACTGGATGGCAGCGCAGCCATTGATATCCATGAGATTGGCTTCGGCCCCAGCTTCCAGCATCATGTGCATGAGCACGTGGTCACAGTTCCAGGCTGCCTTGTGGAGCGGAGACTTAAAGTCATCGTCCCTGGCATTGACCTCGGCATGGTAGTCGAGCAGCATCCGGCAGGTGAGGTGGTGCTCCCTGCTGTATTCCTGCTCCTTGAAGCGGAGGGCCCAGTAGGTGGCAATAGCCAGCGGGGTCTCCATGTGGGCGTTCACACTGTCCACGACAGCCCCATGCTCCACGTAGAAGGCTACCAGCTCAGAGAGGCCGAAGTGGGCCGCTGTGTGCAAGGGTGTCTCCTCATCCTGGTTGTTGGTCTTCATGTTCACATTTGCCCCTAGAAAGGCAGATTGAGGAAGAGTGTTATTTAAACATACTTTGTTATTATTCCAAGACCTTAAACAGGACTTTTCTTGCTGCTACCTACTTAACCTCTGACTGCCATGCATTATCTGTTTTTCCTAAGTTCCATTTTGGTCTCCGAAGAAGCCACTCCTTTGAAACAACAGTGCCATCTCCTGGACAACTGGCAAGTGGAAGGGCGTAGGCCCACAGAGAGCAAAGGATTTTGGCTGGAAGGTTGGGGCATTGTGGGTTGAGTTTTATTTCTTATTCCCAGGCAGGCTGGGAAATGCAAAGTGAGTCCCATAATTGGTTTTTACTAATAAAATAGCAAATATCATGGAAAATAAAAGCTATATCACAACCTTTGAAGCTCACACAAGTGGCTTTAAAAATTGACAATTTATTTGAATGTTTCACAAAACACTCATGTGTTTCTTCTCTTTGGAACGAAAGCAGGAAAACCTGAGTTTAGCCCCACCAAACTTTCATGGTTTGGAAACTGCCCAGCCCCCTGATGACTGAAAACTGACTGTACGAGTGCCACCCAAGACTATGAGCCTCCTTTGAAACACAACCGAGGAGAAAACAAAAAACACAAACATGTTGGCCTAAAGGTCATATTTTTGAATCAAAAGGGATAGAAGGTAGTATAATAGAAATACTCAGTGTAAGAAAGACAATGATTTAGAGACTGTAACATATTTGATTTATGTTGACAACAGCTATTAGAAATACAGATTTTTAGTGCTGAGAAAGCTCCATAAAAATTATTTAATCTGACTCACTTATGTATAACAGACCAGGAAGCTGAAGTGAATTTTATTATGGCATTGACCTCGGCATGGTAGTCGAGCAGCATCCGGCAGGTGAGGTGGTGCTCCCTGCTGTATTCCTGCTCCTTGAAGCGGAGGGCCCAGTAGGTGGCAATAGCCAGCGGGGTCTCCATGTGGGCGTTCACACTGTCCACGACAGCCCCATGCTCCACGTAGAAGGCTACCAGCTCAGAGAGGCCGAAGTGGGCCGCTGTGTGCAAGGGTGTCTCCTCATCCTGGTTGTTGGTCTTCATGTTCACATTTGCCCCTAGAAAGGCAGATTGAGGAAGAGTGTTATTTAAACATACTTTGTTATTATTCCAAGACCTTAAACAGGACTTTTCTTGCTGCTACCTACTTAACCTCTGACTGCCATGCATTATCTGTTTTTCCTAAGTTCCATTTTGGTCTCCGAAGAAGCCACTCCTTTGAAACAACAGTGCCATCTCCTGGACAACTGGCAAGTGGAAGGGCATAGGCCCACAGAGAGCAAAGGATTTTGGCTGGAAGGTTGGGGCATTGTGGGTTGAGTTTTATTTCTTATTCCCAGGCAGGCTGGGAAATGCAAAGTGAGTCCCATAATTGGTTTTTACTAATAAAATAGCAAATATCATGGAAAATAAAAGCTATATCACAACCTTTGAAGCTCACACAAGTGGCTTTAAAAATTGACAATTTATTTGAATGTTTCACAAAACACTCATGTGTTTCTTCTCTTTGGAACGAAAGCAGGAAAACCTGAGTTTAGCCCCACCAAACTTTCATGGTTTGGAAACTGCCCAGCCCCCTGATGACTGAAAACTGACTGTACGAGTGCCACCCAAGACTATGAGCCTCCTTTGAAACACAACCGAGGAGAAAACAAAAAACACAAACATGTTGGCCTAAAGGTCATATTTTTGAATCAAAAGGGATAGAAGGTAGTATAATAGAAATACTCAGTGTAAGAAAGACAATGATTTAGAGACTGTAACATATTTGATTTATGTTGACAACAGCTATTAGAAATACAGATTTTTAGTGCTGAGAAAGCTCCATAAAAATTATTTAATCTGACTCACTTATGTATAACAGACCAGGAAGCTGAAGTGAATTTTATTTTTCTGAAAGGAAATGTTAAGTGCTAGAATGGTCCACTTGCAAAGCTGACATTTCCCTTCTCTGCCCTAATTTAATGGGGTGAACCAAATGACCCTTAAGAAGCCACCTCTATAATCAGTTCTCCTGGAAATTGGTATAGCTATTTTAAATATAAATTTGGAAAGAGTTTTATGACTATTATTTTACTACTATTATGCTAGCAACTAATATTTATTAAGCACTTACCATGGGCAACATCCTGAGCTAAATGCTTTTCATATATTGCCTTATCAAATCTGCTTAGCAACTCTTTGCAGTAGGTGGAATTTTTATCCTAATTTTACAGATGAAGAAATTTGTACTTAGAGAGGCTAATAACCAAACTAAGGAGCAATAGAACAGAGGTTTGAAAGCAGACAGCCTGGCTTCAAAATCTCTTATGAATGTGCTATTCTACCTGATTGTTTTTCTAGAAGAAAAATTTTCCATCCTTTGCTCTCTTTTGGCATTTAAAAAGTTGAAAGTAGTAGAGAAATAACTTTACATTTTGTTAATTTAAAAAATCTGTCCATGCGTCACTCTTTTATGCTCTCTTATGACGCTGTCCTCTGATCATATGGAACTTATCTGAGAGAGGCAATATTCCTACAAGCCTGCACAGTATCACACACAAAATCCCCCACAACTGAGGCTCCCAAGAGTACCCTGCTCCATAAACTCTGAGACTGTCTGTATCCCTAACTTGCAGAAAACAGAATTATAACCAAAGATTGTCTTGCATGGAGCCATCTGTGTTCATCAGTATTCTGCCCTGAGGAGTTCTAGTCAGGTCTCTTAACAGGTCAGCACTGTAGTGAAATAGAATGAATAAGAATGTTTTCCCAGAAGCCAAAGGCGGGTCACTTCAGACACTGGACAATTTCCAGTAAGGAAGAGAATCAAAGGGTCAGGATGAAAATTTTACAGGCCAACTTGGAACAAACCATCCGTTATTTTTTAATGCACTTCGACATGTACAATTGATCCTTGACCTCTTGGTACAACTAAATATGCTGGGTAGTTTTCTTTTTTGAATTGAAGATACTTATTTTCATTTCTGAATTGTGTCTTTGAGTGTAACTGTTTCAGGAAATATATAGAGTAGGATCATTTGACTATGCTTTTATTTAAGATTTTGTGACTTATTCAGGAAATTAGAGAGTATAAACATAAATTCCTGGGAACTTCCAAAAAATATTTTTGATGTGAAAATACAGTTAGTTTCCTAGAACTGCCGTAATTGAGTACCACAAGCTACATGGCTTAAACTGATGGAAATTTATTCACAGTTGTGGAGACTGGAAATCCAAAATTAAGATGTCAGCAAGACTGGCTCCTTCTGAGGGCTCTAAGGGAATCGGTGTCATGTGTCTCTACTAGCTTCTAGTGATGGCTAGCAATCTTTGGCTTATAGATGCATTACGCCAAGGTCTGCCTCCCTCTTCCCATGTCATTCTCTCTGTGTCTCTGTCTTCATGTGGCTGTTTTTTTATGAGGACACCAGTCACACTGCATTAGGGAACCATACTTAACTAACTACATTTGCAGCAAGACTGTTTCCAAATAAGGTCACATGCTGAATTGGTAGGGATTAGGACTTCAACATGTCTTCCTTTTGTGGGGAGGGAATACAATACAACCCGTAACGCATAACATGCATTATATAATGTAAGTAAATACACATGTACAGTTGAAAACATATTGTAAAGCCATCATCCATGTAATCATATCCCAGGCCAAGAAATCTAACACTCCCAGACCCAGAGTAGCCCTTCACTTTCCAGTGTCTCCTTTCCCATCACAACTTTCCATCCTGCCAGGGGAACTAGTATCCCAATGGTCATAATCATGTCTTTGTTGGATTTCCTTATAGTTTTACCATCTTTATATGTAGCTCTAAACAAGATACTTAGTTTCATTTATTTTTGAACTTTACATAAATGGAATAATACACACATTCTTTTATGACTTGCTTCTTTCACTCAGCATTAAGTTTGTGAAAATAATGTGTGTTGTGAGGCTGAGCTCCGTTTGTTCATTTTATTGCATTCTGTCTCACAGCACAAGTAATTGACAATTCCTCCACCCACCTGGGGATGGACATTTTCCACTTCAGGCTGTCCCTAACACTGCTGTCAGGAGCATTCCTATGCATGCTTGTTCCTGGTGCTCACATGCAGGGGTTTGTCAGGGTTCTATGCCTATGTGTGGAATCGCTGGTCAGCGGGTATGCATATTTTCACCTTCATTAGATGATGTCAAGCAGGTGTTGTACCAATTTACATGACCCTGGGTCATGCATAAGGGTTCTTGTTATGGCACGTTCTCCACCACATTTGGTACTTTCAGTTTATTGCATTTTAGTCAATCTAGTGGGTATGTAGAGATTTTTCACTGTGTTCAAATGTTCGTTTCCCTAATCAACCAATTAGATTAAACATACTTTAATATTTGTATCGACCAACATTGCCTTTTGTTTATATTATCAACATTTCTATTGTTACATAATCATTTCAAATATCACTTAAAAATAACTACCTAGTATTCCATAGGGTGAGTTTAACCTCCTGTTGGATGTGAAAATTTTAGTCCAGTTTTGATCTTATGACTAATGCTGCAATTAATAAGTTTGTATGAAATTTTAGGATTATTTCCTTTGTATAAATACCCCCAAAATAAAGTCATTAAGCTGAAACATCTGAAATATCTTCAGGGACTTTATGAATAATTGCCGAATGTTATGTATTTCTCATTGGTGTGCAAGAGTGCTCTTTCATTTCTCAGGAGGCTGTTATACATTAAAATTTCTTTTTGGTACTTTGAAAATAAAAGATTATCTCTTATTTTTTTAATCTGAATTCATTTAATTCATAGAGGATGAACATTTTCTCTGTAAATTATTAACCAGTGATATTTCCTCTATAGCTAACTGTCCACATTCTTGTCCTTTTATACATTGAAACCGTTCTGCTTTGTTTACATTTATCTGAGCCCTTCATTAGTTAAAATGTAAGCATATACTATCATAATTGTTATACATCTTTTAACTATTTTATTTTTA